CTTCAAATCAAACATCCTTGCAAATTTTCATTCACTTTTAATCATTTTTCTGACTAAAATGTTATCATTTATTACAGATGGTATTTCTTAACTTCTAAACAGCTACATAAAACAAAGATCAATCTACCGATATCCTTAACAGAGCTTGAACACTAAATATATATAAGTGATACTCCAGAATTGTAGGCATAATGTGATAATCTTCACAACTAAAAATAACCTGAAGATCCCGAGTACGATCCTTGTTGGGGTCGTTGATGAATAATACTGACCAATCCAAAGCTTGGACAAAACAGCTGTCAGGTGTACTCTTTACTTTTCAACGATTCTCTTACTAATGTATCTGTGAGACGAAATCAATAGGCCTGAAGGTGCTGGATCTCAAGTGTGACCATGTTTGTGAAATGATGAAGAGACCGAAACCAGGACGAAGCAGGTGCCTGCAACTATCTGGTTTCCAGTGGGGGCTCTAACTGATACCAGCTAGTGATCGATGTAAGGCGTTTGGTATTGATTTATGTCTTTTGCGTAAGCTGAAATTGCTCTCTGAATGAATGAAAACTTTCAGTGACATTTATTCTGTCTGATTGTTTTATTAAACTGTTTAAAAATAAAATGGCGCATAAAGCTGTTTAAATAATGAACAGAACATATCTGTTATCTGTGTTTAAAATGGTTAATATGCCGTCAGTGTGAATCAGTGTGAAATACTGAACATTAGTTAGTGACCAGTGTAATGTGTCTAGTGCCTTATTTGGTGCAGACTGAATTCTATCAGTCATGTTTGTAATATGACCACCATGCTAAGTGGCGCGCCATCACGATGCACCATGAATTGTTGATATTAGATGGTTGGAGGCAATAGGAAGGAAGCCTTGGACCTAGGTTTCGTGCATTTTGGCCATTACCAGTCAGTAAGGCATATCTGCAATCGTGAAGGAACTCATGCACCTTCTGAGATCCGAACTCGCGTCACCCAGTACTGCAGTCAGAAACAATACCACTGAGCACACCACGCTAGTTACTGACTAGTTTCCAATCAAAGTATCTAATACAATCCTACAGGAGGTCAATCGCCAGCCCGAAAGGCTCAATGGTAATCTCTTTGACTGCAGTACTCACTGGGTGACACAGATTTGAATCTCCGGAAGGATATGAGTTCCTTCAAGGTTGCGAATACGCTTTGCTGACTGGTGAGTGCCGACAAACACAAAACCTAGGCCTAGTTAGGGCTCCCTTCCGATTGCCTCCAACCATCTAATATCAACATTTATACTTACAAGAAGGACTCAGTGACAACAATTCAATAATCAGAATAGTACAATGATAAAAAACGTTGAATATAATTACTAAAGAGATGGCATCGTCGGTGGCATTGCGGTTAGGAGGCTCGCCGATCATGCACATGGTCCGGGGTTCGATCCCCGGCCACAGACGCACTCCTTTACTTCGCTGAGCCAGAAATAAGGCTGGTGAAGAGGAAAGGTTGGGCATGAGGCTAGCAACCCCATCCTGTAAAATAAACACTGCTGCAGAAACTTCAAGCCACTAGTTTGAAGCCCTATGTTGCACTGGGAACGTGAAGGATAAAAAAAGAGATGGCAAGGTTGAGTGGAAATGATGATGCCACGAAAAACGGGATTAATGTGATCATTCGGGAGCTTAACTATTACTAGCATAACTAGAATCTTAAAATTAGAGTATATCCTAATCCAAAGTAAGATCTCTACCGTTTAATCGTGGATTAGATAATCTACTTTAGAAGATTCTTGGTTAGAATGACAATTGATTCAATATTTACAAGCTTTGAAGACAATGGATAATCCTTGAAACTGTTCGTATATATATATATATATAAAATTCGCATTTTAGAAAAGAGATTATCTCGCAGACATAAGTACTCAACCTACACTTATATAAATAGCCAAGCCAAAAGTAATAAAAGTGTAGTATAACAGTTCGAATAACCTTTTATTTCTGGTGAATAAATATAAGAATCTGAGAATTATTCTATAAAATTTCACTAAAACATCTGGTTTTCATTTTCTGAATGCTAATCAAAATACTTTTGGAGTGTTTATTCTATGTCGAGGAAATTATTTATAACCAGTGTATTATTATTTTTATTCCGTTGAGTTCCGAGTGTAGCAAACAGCTTCAATAACACATCCGCACTTTGTTCTATTCTCTGTTCCTCTTTAGCTGACCCCACGACTGCTTATGGTCTCTCATCTCCCCCATAACCAGTGTAAATACCGAACAATATGTGTCCATCACAGTTTTCCACTGAACCCACATTTTCCTAATAAAATTAAGTTTTTGATTTTATTAACCAGTATGAGCTTCATAATATCTCAAATGTTAACTGGAAATCACAAAAAATAAAAGATTCATAACACAGAAGTATTTTACAGTCCCATGAGTGTTGATGTTATCAATACTTTGAAGTGACGAAGGTTTTTTTTTTTTTATTCCTTGCATTTCACGTGGAATACGTAGCTTTAACTGTTGAAGTTTTAGTAGAAGTGTGGTAAATACATGAACTGGCGTTGCTCGTCTTATGCACAACCATCCCTCTTTTCTTATTTTACTACCGGCTAGTAATCTACATAGCATATAGAAGTGCATTAACCTGGAATCGAACTGAAACTTCCGGTGGGGCTGGCGAGTCTTCTGCCATCAAGCTACAGACGCAAAAATGTTATTTCTGGGCTTTAGAAAATTAGATTAGCGCGGAATTGGTTCTGTAGAATGTAAGAAGTGTTTTCTTAAGTGATGTGCTAATTGAGTTCATTCGAAATTTCGAAAACTCAAACATCTTTCATAAAAACACTTGACTTATGCAGTAATCTTTGGGCCTTCAAATTTTTATCATTCAAGCTATCTAAATAAAAGGGACGGTGTTAACTAAACTAAATAAATCCAAATAAAAACCACCTGAACAAAAGCCGTTTACAAAGATATAGCAAGACTGGGACGTTTTGGAAGAAACTAGATATTTCACCGGCTTGCTTTTCATATACAAATTTAACTCTGTACAAACACCCATTACATAATTACGTTTAAAGATAATAACTCTAGTTTCGCTCTATTATGTGAAGGTTTTACCACATTTCATCATATTTTTGTGGCCTAAAACTTGCTGTGTCTTATTTCGTAAGTTATCTTTGTAGGAAACATGGTAAGACGTCTATCACATGATTCTTAGAGCTGTCAGATAATTATTAACAGATGCTGAATGTATTAGTACTCATGAAATAAGAAAACTATAGATGCAAAATAGATCAAATGTATGACTTGCTTCACACATGTACAATTTCAACAACCTTAAATTACAATTATGTGTGAAATATGAGCAGCATGGTCAAAATTTCTGAATGCTCAGATGAAAATATAAAAACATTTATATAGAGATGTGTGGGGATAACTGTTTAAATGAGCGCTAAAAGAGCTATAGTTATGGAAATGAATTTGCAAAAGATTTAAGCCACAAGATTTTAAATGAAGACGCTTAAGTTCAACCTTATAGTATAAGGAGTGAACATATTATTCTCTCTAATCTTCTGAAACTCTTAACACCTAAAGTTCATGTGGACTGTACTATCAGTTTTTGAAAAATATAACAAGTGACTAAATTTCTTTGTGTTCTGGCCAGTACGCTGATTCCTTTGAACTAATTAGTCCTTTGGAGAAAAGAAGCAGATCAAGCGAAATCACCTGTTGTCTAGACACCCTGGATACTGATAAAGAATATGCAAGATTTAGGCCAAAAATGTTAGGCATGCCATATTATATATGATTCTGAGTGAATAAATATAATATGATCCAGTTAAAGTCTCCCCATTGGGTTAAAGTTATATTTAAAGGCCGTTGAAACCTAATCCTTTTAGCATTACAACAATACTTGGATCTGTGGGTAATTATAGCAAACAAAGATTTTAAATCATTTTACAATAAAGCGCTATTATTGGAATCTACAGGCTTTGATGTGAGATATACACGTTTAAAATGAGTGAGCCACTGAGTATTCTGAATTAAAACTTCGTCTGAACGGATAACATTCCCTCCAATAAATTTGCTTCAGGTTCATTGAAATACAGAGTACTGTGTTTATGATCACAGTTATAGTCAGTTATGTGGACGGTACATTTTAACGTAGAAAGGTGGCTTAGCCATAGAGTGGCGAAACAGATAGTGTCTGGATGAGAAACGTTCCGAGGTGAATCTAGTTACTAAATATGGTGAAATGCGAGACACTGATAGTGCTTAGTCATTAAAGATTTATACAATGTAGTGCAGGAAAACTGAGAAATCCATAAAATCCTTCCAAACAGAATCCATTTTTCATTGTGCAAAAAATGTAACATTCAGTTTAGGAAAAAGTGCAGAATCTGCTTTGAAGAACGCTCACGATGTGTAATTTTGAGAGCTTTTTACTGAAGGGTTATATGTAGACATCAAAAGTGATCTCTATACAATTAAAATTTCAGAGATGTTTGTCACAAGTAGAGAAAATAACACGATTGTTTTACAAAAAGTTCAGTCACCGGGAATTGTCTAATTAATCAGACATTTTAATCATGATAAATAATTATTGTCATAAAATTAGGCATTTCTGTTTTAATTACACATGCATATTAAACAATATATTTCTGTGAACACTAAGGGTGACGCAAAATAAAAAATTTTGCAGTATTTCGGAGAAATGATTCACTTTTCCCCAACAAACCCCAAAACCTTAAAAGTGCCCCAAAAATAGTTATTAGGATGAAATGTGAATGTTATAGAAATATACCTGAGTTGTTTACAGTCGAACCCAGCACTACTTAGAAAGCTTTTCTGTAAGTTTTGAACATGTGGTGTTTATCTGCATTTGTCTCTGTAGCTGAGAAAGCTGTTAGTTTACCGAAATGACCCATTTAAATTCAACATAAAAATTACACTTGAGTAACATCAGTACATACAATATGACATCAAACTTCTCAAATTTAAAGACTCACCGATGGGATCTATGTGGTCAAAATGGTCGATAAATGTCCTTCTGTCCAGATAAATTGACAACTATATATATGTTACAAAACAACTTTGACTTTACCTTTCCATCTGGAGTCGATTTTTTAAGAACACTAAAAAAATGTTATAACATAACAAACTAAATATTACTCGAAGAAATGCCCCTGGGGTGTTTCAGACACCATTGTATTCTTAACGCGATAACATTGTCACAAGTTTTGTAAAATGTGTTCCTCACAAGGTCATTTATTTTTTCACAGATGTATTATAACAGTGGTGACCAAAATAAGTTAACTTGTCTACAACAAGCTCTCAAAGAGTCATTTTTGCTGAAACCGAGCCTTTTTATAATAAATTTTGATGATTTTGATAGCTGTTTTAAAAATGCTTCATTTCAGGTCTACCACTCAGAAAGATCTTGATTCCATTTCGAATATTTTCCGGTTGTGACTTTGGGAAGGGTTTGTCATGTCCTACTTCAAAATTGAAGTAAACGGTTTGTTGTATTAAGGTGGTAACTATTCATTTTTAGTCATTTTGACATATAGTCCTCCTGTCTATGAAGCCAGTGGATCTCTAGATCATCATAACCGCTGATATTGTCTGTGGCAATAGAAATATTGCTCAGACAAAATAAAAAGAGACCGACTATTTCTTCCATACTAGGAACAGATCTTAACTGTAAATGGTATCGAGTCATCTACACTTAAACGAACAAGCCTTTTATCGGTCATATTTTGAACATTTCTCTATAGCGCCGATTAAAGCCAACAAAAGCTATGCACAGATGACTTTTCTCGCAGACCACTTATTCTTCAATTGCCAGGACAAGAAGATCGAAGGCAGTATACCAAGTGCAAATGGAATTTCTGTTAACTAGTGTGTGACTCCACAACTAGTAGGAGTTGTATTTCGCTCGGCTCTGTAGCTCATCCCGAACTTCAACCACCTTGATCATCGTGAAATTACTTAGCCGTAGTCATAGTTAATCTGCTTACAGATAGGCATTTAGCAGCGTATGCATCTTGATATTTTCCTTTTACGAATGAAAGAATAAAATTAGTTTTTGAAAGGAATTCTTATCTGTAATTAGCTTGAGCATCTGTTTGAAAGCTGAAGACCTTGGTGAACCGTTTGTAATGGTATGTACCAAACCTCAGTTCTTGTTCGTCTTGAAAAGTAAAAATGAATAAGTATAAGGCACAAAACTATTCATCCAGATAAAAATGTGCCAAGTTGCCTGGCACATTTCTATATTGCCCTGACACAACGGCATTTAGAAAGGTGATATGAGCTACAGTTTGATAATAAACCTTAAAGTGTCATTGTGAAAACTACCTCCATGATGATTACAGGATTTCTCTTGCCATCTGATGTCTCAAGTCCAATCATTATTAGTGATGATAAACATCTGGCCCTTCCTGTATTTAAAACAGGGGCAACTTAGCACAAACCTTTTCTTTTTCTAAGAAATGAAATCAGAGCAGTTACGTAAAGTCACTGTATACAAAACAGTTGTCTTGCAGGCATAGGTAAAAGATACAAAACAGTAATGGTGTGCGCAGCAAAGTGGTATGCTTAACTGTAGTGGCCTTATGCATGGAGGTAACAGCAGACAAATGTTAGTTAATATCGATTGGGGGTTTCCATCACATCTGCCTGTCACTTTTGTCAATATTCGCAATAACCACTTGGTGTTCAGCACGAATAAGCAAACACATGAAGCAATTATTTCCTGCGACCTAGAATTTGCTACAGATATAACAAGCGTTCGCCAACACACACAAAAGATAATTGATGATCTTCACTGCCTTTAAAAACGGAGGAGCACTGAGTAACGAACTGTCATCCGAAATTGATTAGAATCTAAGAGAAGAACACAATAAAAGCCCCACTCAGACAGTGTTGGCAGTACGTCAAATGCACTCTACTGTGCAGTACAGCTGGTCGTAAATTTAACAATGGTGGGCTAGTAATAGATGAGTTTGTAGATTTAACAAAAAACCATGAGAATTTGATGGGTGTGATTATCCGTATTTTAGAATAATGATGTAGAGATACCTTACCATGCTCTACGCTAACTCAAAAATCTTACTCGGAAAATATTTATGGCAAATGTTCCTGAAGTGATCACTTAAAATTGGTTAGTATGAGGAAGAAAGCTGCTGAAAGCAGTTCCAAACGGCGTGCGTACTTATGGAGACTATTGGGTTACCTTTATGGACGGAGTCACATCAGGTCAATCCATCCGATTAGGCTCGTCTTAGTAACGCTGAAGAAACACGAATAGAATATCCCACGAAGTGAAATTTGGGCTCGTGATATTCCTGCTTTGGAAAGGTATGCTTCGACGACATATTTGGGCGAGTATGAACTTGGATAGCGAAAGCCTTGGCTTCATTAAATAAGGTTCTGATTGTACCAGACGAAGGTTCAGTATTCTGGAATTACTGGAATAGGGGAGATTATTTGACATATCCCCTATTTGAAGTAGCGCCTCCAGCTTTACATTGACGGCATTTGCGCGGTTTAGTTGATTCGAGTTGGGGCTAGTCGTCCAGGCAAACGCAGTTGACGTGGTTTTGGTGCTTATTTTGCTCTTGTTGGATGAATTTATATGAAAATAGTAGTTCGATATCATTCTCGAGCATTCACGTATTGCTTGTGTGACAGGACGTTTAAATATACGGTTCATGCAATGACATACCCAGTAATCTTCGCGTACGTTTCGATGACTGCCTTTTGATCAATTTCTCTGCAGCTTAGCGGAAACCTGTACTTGATCGTAAATTTACCTATCAGCTGTTGTGCAGTACCTATTTCTGTTACAGGAACCAAAGAATATGGTTGATATCGAATTCGTGCATGCTTCCACACTTTTGTATGGCGTTTTGATCGTTAAAAGTCAATGGAATGCATGGATACAAGCGAAGATAAGTGTTCACAACTAGTCAGAAACTGCAATATGCTTTACGATCACTTACAACATACACTGTTTTCTGCCAAAATTTTTAAATGAGTTAAGTGCACACTACAACATTCTAGTAATTTGGTGGATTGGAATACCTTCCTCGTGATCAGGTAAGTAAGGACATCTGAGGTGTGCGTCATTTCGTCCTATTATTGAGTTTGGTTTCATAAACTTCCGCTTTTTGTTGTTGTCCTGACGCCATATTATTTGCGTTTGTTCAAAGTCAATTCGCAGAATTATTTCGGAATCGCGTGGAAGTAGTGTCCGACATCTATTGAAGCTATGGACGTAAGGTCTAGAAGAGGTTGCCATATCCACTTAGGGAGGACTCATCGATGTCTGCAAGTAAGGACTACGCATCATATTTCCAAATGCCCCCAGAAGCAAACAGAATCCTCAGAAGCTTTTAGTGGTGAGAACAGGAGCCCTAGCCCCTCTACTGCGGAACATATTATAGAGACAAGACATAAAATTGACGTTTGCACATTTTTAAAACGTGTTTGGGGCGTATCCTGAAATTTTTGGGAGCCCAAGTGTGATTAGGAAGTTTGAACCACCTTCATGGGTTCCAAAACTATTCGTCATCACACGAAACCTTTTTTGTGAAACTTAATTTTGACACCAGTCAGGGTAGATCTTCATTTTTATCTTGACCTACAATATGTGATTTTAATTCCACCTAAATTTATTTTCTAACCCCTTAACTCTATTAATTTCATATGTATTCCTATGACAACTGCATGCGTGACCAGATTGCCCGAAATGGTGCTCAGACACTCTTGCTCATCACATCGGAAACAATGGAGTGATGGTGGTGCATGCCGATCAGTAGATTTGACATTAGTCACAAATGTGTGTCGCCCTGATCTGTATGACAGCAGCACGCATTTTGACAGCCCAAAATTTAAACATGAGTTTCTATGCTTCTCTTAAAAGGCAAAACCAACAACCGAGATCTGAATGACAGATAAAGCTTCCGCCTCTAACATCTACCATTTCGCTCAGCTTCTGCTCAAGATGAGACTTTGTGGGCCATACGTAGACTGGTGAAACATCCTGTGGATCAGCATTTCGTACATTTTTTGATCTTTGAAACCTACCTCCGATCAAGCCATCATCTATAAATTTCGCGATTTTTACTTGGGCACTAATACACTCCAATAAATTTTACCTATCCAGGATTTTCGTCAAGCTAACATTTACTCCTCCTTCTTAGTATCTCTTTGTGCAAAAGAAAACATCTTGTTTGAGCGAAACAATATTTTTATTGGAACCACTGTAGCTTTGGTAATAAGACTAATATGGTTATCAGTATACATTGCGAATACACACTGTCATTTTGAGAACCTATCCCAATGACTTCTAGTTAAGCTAAAAGTAACGTCACAGATCCTCTCTTGTTCGCCCCCAATGTCAATGACATTCACATTTCTTTTTCACATCACAAAGCGTTAATTTCTGAAGATGACCTTAAAGCAGCTGATACACTCCATTAGTAGTGGCTATATCATCCGCTGACATTAAAGACTGTAATTTAGCCTGGATCTAACCATATCCTAATCTTCATATCTAATAAGAAGCAAGCTATAACTGTCCCTTGGCAATGCAATGTAGAATTGTCTACTGTAGATGCATACAAGCAAATAAGGGATACTTTTTGAGTAGTAGTGTGTGAATTTGAACCTAAAGTTTCCCATTCCATCCAGTATTCTTGGACGATATGGAACTCCGGAAGGCCTTACACAACGGTAGTGATAGAAACGCCTTTCAAGAAAATTTAATTTCGCCGACTGAAGACCGTAGACGTAATAATAATTTATATTTTCATATAAACATAAATTTACGTGAAAATGCATGCCATTTTTACAGGCACGATCAAGTATGATATAATGACAAATAGTAGATTGTCTGCAAGTTAATAATGTTTGAACAGCTAAATATTTGATATATATATATATAAATACACTCATTGTCTGACCCATGTGGTATCATTATTGAATTAAACAGTAGTCCTCCAGGTTGCGTAGGAAAATCGACTTCGTTTCATTTTCAACCCGTAGTTGTAGGCATACGATAGCCAACCAATATTGAGGTAAGTACAACGTTTACAAGGGAATGTAAAATTATCACTTTTTTTAAGTTCAAATTGTTGAATTATATAGTACAAGCAATCGGAACAGATTCTTATAATTGTTAATTGGTAAATCTTCCACGAAGATTTCCATCGAAGTTGAGTGACAACCACGTGCTTGAACGCTATTTCAAGAAGAGGAGAAAATCC